AGCTTTACTCTTAGGCATACCAAATACGACAGAGGTGATCTCTTCAGCCGTAGGAATAGCAACAGCTTGATCAATTTTGTTTGGGGGGAACCGGTAGGGAAGAATAGATTTAAGCTCCTCAACAGTAAAGGGTTGAGTCTCCAAGTTTTCCCGACCCAAAATCTCCTGGAAATAGTTCGCCGCTGTGCTCTTAATTAATTCTTTCTGATCAATCCGATTGTTCTCTCCATCTATCAAGTAGTTTATTGCATTCCTTGCTTGATGGGCTATGACAGATTTGTGGAAAAAAGTAGTGTTAGCATCTCCAAGAGTGAACCATCTGATCCTCGATTTCTTCCTGAAGTAAATCCCTTCAGCTTTCTCAAAGAACCTCCACTGTTTACGGGCCACAAATTCTGCACGAAATAAGGAATCAGAAGGCTGGGTAAGCAGGCGAGACTGGATGTCCTGAAGGTTGGACAAAGCATCACGAGCCTTTTGTTGAATATTGCCGAATCCCTCCTTATTCAGCTTCCTACAAGCACTCTTAGCATGATTTAATTTCTGGCCTAGAGAAAAGAGCTTGGAACCCACAGAGATATCACGCTCCCAGGCTTCTTTTATATCTTTTAAAAACCTTGGATGCATAGCAAGGAACGAAAAGTACTTAAAACTGGACTTCCGACTTCTCAGATTGACATTCATGTCCACCAAACTTGGAGAGTGATCAGAATCACCAGGACTATCGAAAAACGCATACACATCGGGAAACAGGTCCCTCCATTTCTCATTAACCAACACCCGATCCAGTTTGCGAAGGATAGGATCCTCCGGACGACCATTAGTCCAGGTAAACAAAGTACCCCTTGATTCAAGGTCGACCAAACCACTATCAGAAAGACACTCCTGAAGCTCCTCCATACCACTGACCGGGAGAGTGTAGGGGCTAATAGAGTGATGTTCGTCGGCTGTGAGAATCTGGTTAAAGTCACCCATCACTACGGCAGGGAGATTCTTGACTATAGGGAAGTTGCAGATATCCTTGAGCTCTGTCCATAATTCTCTTCGCTGAATGGCAGTATTATAAGCGTAGACAAAAGTAGCAGTGAAAGCAAGATTTGAGGCTCGATCGAAGACACCACAAATAATAGACTGAGCTGATCTGGAATAAACAATAACCGAGACACTCGGGTCCCAAACTACCCAGACCCGTCCTCGTTCAGCTTGAGAGTAGTTATTATCTGATCTCCAACCTGGCACAACTGACTGAATAATAGAACTAGCATTCTCTTCTCCAACATGAGTTTCCAAAAAGGCGCCTACTAAAGGCTTATTAGTGTTGATCCATCTTCTAACTGTCCGTTGACGATCTAAATTATTAAAACCTCTAATGTTCCAGCAAAATATCTTCATATATACAAGTCGGGGGGGGGGGAAAGCAACGCTATCAGAGTTGGGGTTTCTTACCCAAGGAGGAACCTTGAGCTCGACCCCTGAATCGAAGAGCTTTTGATACTGATGCCGCGGGAGAGTGCCACAGCTCGCCTTGTCTCATAGCTCTTTTAGTCTGCTTTGAGAGAGTGGTCTGCCATGGGCCTTCGTTATCTGGTTCCAGAGAGGGAGAAGGATCTACATCTGAGGTAGGAATCTTCCAAAGGGCTGGAGCTACTTTCTCTGATGGGGAGTCAGTAGGAGAGGCTTTCCGGTCATGGATATCGGTATCAACTGGCAAAATCTGGAGCTCCTTTGTCTCATTCAGCTGAGACCTTGATGGGGACTCACAGTTACTGATATGCTCCTCAAAGGAAGGACGATCTTCATGAGAAACCAATAAAGCTTTAGAAGAATCCTCAAGCTGAGGCTTTGGGAATTCTAAGCTCCTAGCCCGCACTCTAGCTCTCGACCTGGAACGGGACTTTCTTCTGCGAAGGGTGTCCTTATTGGGACCTGAGCTAGTATTAGCAGGTTGATGAGGGGGCGCTTGCTGATCTACTTCATCCCTCTCGAGCATAACTTTTGTGTTAACAGTGGCAACTTCAGAGCTAGTTTTAGGAAGATTTTGAAACCCCAAGTGCTTCTTCTTCTGAAGGGGTTCAGGGCACCGGTTGAGGAAGTGACCAAACCGACCACAGTTACAGCATTTAGGAGGCAACCTCGGGTATTGAGCTCTGATTCTTACTGAATGACCAACTGAATCTCTCACTTCAATAATCTCTGGAGGAAGAACTCCTAGATCAATCTCAACTTTCACCTTTGTATCACCAAAGCGATAGGGGTCAAGCCGCGAGTGTTCGGTATGAAGAGGTTCACCTATTCCACTAGCTATCACACTGATACCATCCAGGGAGTAAAGCTGCGGGGGAACATTTTTGAGGATAACCCAAGTAGGGGCTGTAGTGAGTTCTTGGGGAGCAAGATTAGCATCTGGAGACCAAGGAAACACTGAAAAAGCACAATGAGCTGCCTGCCAGTAACCAACTTGTAAAACCCATTCTCTGGTTTGAACGGAGGGGATGAGGATGAGACAGGACGTAGCTGAGATGATGCGTATAGTGATCTTGCCAAACTTTCCCCACACTGGGTTTAAATCGTCGAAGATATTTTTGGCTGGAGGAATGGAGCCATGAAAATGAGCAATAATATGGTCTTTCCATAGGTCTGAGGTGAAGAGAAGGACCGAGTCTGGAGCTCGAACTACCGGAGTACCGTCCTCCAAGAAGGTAGGGGACGAAATCTTCCTTAGGTTTCGAAGAGAGGACTTGAACCGCTCAGCATAAGAGGGTGCGGCGGCAGAAGGAATTCCTGCTGGGATTGAGGATTTTTGGAGCTGGTGAGCAGTTAAATCGAAAGACGAAGCCAACGGAGGGGTCGTGGCGACGCCTAGAGGCGAGTGAACAGGTGATGTCGGGGAGGCGCCCTTCGGCGAGAGAACAGGAGAGGGAAGAGGGTTAAGAGACGGATCTGGGGGGGGGCGGATCTGGAGGAACAGGGGAGGGAGGGGAGACAACGAGAAGGGAAGCGAAAGCCATCAGCAAGTGGAAACGGCTGACCAACGGAAAAAACTTCTCGTCAACCGGCGTGAGGCCAGTCAACGGCGTGGACTAGGAAGAAGCCCTAATCGCACTAAAGGGGACTCATGAGAGAGAGGCCTTTTTTTTTCGTAACGTTGAATCACTTGTCTTCAAAATTATTAAAACCTCTAATGTTCCAGCAAAATATCTTATTATTCTATATTGTTATCAATTTGGTTGTCATGTTGACATATTGCTAGATTTCGTATCTTTTTGAATTTTGTATTTCATATTGTTATTCTATACCATAGAGTTAAAATTCAATACTGTAAGTAGAAATTTTTACAAAAAAAAAGTAGAAACTTTAACCAATCGCATCTTGAAATACGAAAACACATTCAACATACTTTGGCCTCAGTTTGCCTATGACTATTTCAAGTCTACATGTAGATTAGCTTCAATCATTAACCCTTCGCATACTAGTATTTTTATTTAAGATCGTAAAATAACTAATTTTGTTACCGTTTTCGTTTAGACTACAGAGTTTTACAAATATAATCATAAACATATTGTCACAAAAGAAAACATATTAATCAGATTATTTTATAAGTTTTTTCTCGTAGCTAAAAGAAACTGTTACATGTGTAACGTGTAAGGTGTATATTCTAGAAAATGTTACATGGAAGTATTCAAAAGAAAATCATTGTTTTAGTTAAAATTGATAGATAAGTTATACATTCCACATTAAAATTAGTTTTTTGTCAAATATATGAAGCTTTTAAACCATTCGAAAGAACCCCAAGACATTGCTTTTGGCATCACTATATCATATATTGGTTCAGAATTTTTGTAGTTATCAGTTATGCATATTAATGAAATTTAAATCAGAAAAATATAATTTGTTGTAAATTATGTAAATCAATAAAATAATTCATGAAATCTTCAATACATTTCGTAAAATCTCTAGTATGATAAAAAATTGAACTGTAATGTAAGGTTTTGTACCAGATTATGTATCTTAAAACCTTAGTTCTTTTATCTAGAGTAGATTTATGTAATGTAAGGTTTTGTACCAGATTATGTATCTTAAAACCTTAGTTCTTTTATCTAGAGTAGATTTAGCTAACGATTTAGATCAGTTGACCTTAATGTTAACTTGTATGTTTGTGTGTTTGTTTTGCAGGAATAAAAGACACAACACAGTTTGTTGATCCAGTTCCCTTAACCGGTACGTCTGGGGGAAGACCACGCTTCCAATTCACTATCTCAAGTACAAAAGATGTAATACAAGAGAAGTATGCTCTAACCACTTCTACATCAAAGCTTAGAGCTAAGAACAATAACCTAGTTCTTCTTCTTGATTGCTGCTTGCTCAGGTAGACTTAGACGATCTTTTAACCAAGACAATCTGCTCTCTCCTGATCTCCACAATCTGATAATGTTTCCCGTGATCTCCAAGTATAACAATAGCTTCCTTTTATATGCAGGTGATCACGAATGCCCTAGACGGCATAGGCTGCTTTTCTGTCTCAAAGCCCATCTTTTCTAGCTACTAATGTTATTGGGCCTTTACTTACAAGCCCAGTCTCGACGACATAGACAATACACCGACATGTAATACAAGTATTTCTAGTAAGCAGCCAGTACCTGTCAAATTAGCGTTATATTATATAATTAATTATCGATTATGAATAATGTTTACAATTTATAATAAGTATTATTAAAATATATTATAGTTAGTTTGCATATCACATTAAAAGCGTAACTAGATGTATTTTACTAGTATTAAACGAAAAAGGCTAACTTTGACTAAATGAACCAGAAAAAAGCTAAGGTAATTATGTGTCAAAGACTCAAAAGCCACAATTGACGTGGTCGCCTTTGGGAGTGAAAAGACAATTTCGAAGTTACTTCCTTTCTCTCCAATCGTCGTTGTCTTTTCTATATAAACTTAAAAAAAAAAACCTTCTATATAAACCTTCCTCTCCTCTTTCTCATTTCACATCCCTCAAAGCCATTTCGAAGTCTCCATTCTACATTGAGAAAGAGAGAGAACACAGACGAAAACAAGAAGAAAGTTTCAACCGTCCTCTCTCTTTCTTTCAAGAAACTACATACTTCGAAAACATGGCTCGTTCTTTCTCCAACGTTAAGATCGTATCTACTTTCGTCTCTCAAGAACTCTCCAATGCAATCTTCCGGTAACATTCACTATGCTCTGTTTTCTCTGTTTTTATTCTTACGCTCTGTTTTCTAAACGGTACCGTTTTGTGTTTTAACAGACGCGGTTATGCGGCCACAGCGGTGCAAGCGAGCGTTGGGAAAGGTGGAGCCGTTGTTTCAGCGGTGATGAAGAAAAAGAGAGTGGAAGAATCGACCCAAAAGATAGCTTGGATCCCGGATCCCAAAACCGGTTATTACAGACCGGAAACCGGTTCCAAAGAGATTGACCCAGCCGAGCTACGAGCAACTCTCTTGAACAACAAGCAGTGATGAATTAACTGAAAGGAAGCTCTTTTCTGTTAATTATTTGTTGTTAATTTTAATGTCTTGGGGTAAAAAAAAAGGGTAATGATCCTGTGCGGTGAACCCTATTTACATCTGTTACGTGCGATTCTGCAACAAATAACATAGAGAAGTCTTTTGGTTCCTCTACTTCGTAACAAAAGGGTCGATGAATGTATCATGTATGAAGTTATTCTATAATATTGTGTTTTACTTATTTGCTAGCAAATTTGCTACTTTTTCATCTAGCTTAAAATAACTAACATTGATATTGATCATAAAAAAGTTCATCAAGATGGGGATTAAATTCTAGTAATTAAATTTATGATTTCTTATCGATTGAGATAGAACTGCCAATTGATTAAACTGCGAACTAACGAATAATTATTATTAGTGGTTATATATTGACGAAAATACATATTTATAATTTTAAATGTTTTTGTAAGAAAAGGGACATTATAAAAAGAATCAAACACTTCTTGAAAGATTATACTGATTTAGAATTTTAGTGTAAGCATATCAGACAATAATCAATCTATCAATAACTAGATCAGGGGTGTGATTCGTGAACCAAGTAGCTGATTGTAATGAATCAAATCAGAGTAACCATGAGGAAAAATAGTATGTTAAAAGGTAACAGTGAAAATCAAAAAGGCTAAAATCAGCACAATTTATTTACATTTTCAAAACTATGTGAGGAACTATAGGGCGTGACAGAAAGTGCCTTTTTTGGCATGGGACTGAAAATACTTCTAGAATAAAAAATTTAGTTGAAAAGTAATTATTCTGTGCTTGCCACTTTTTCACCAATCAGGTGATGCGAGCTCAGAAAAATGAAGGGGATTCTTTTTTGACCGAGTGAAGGGGAATTTTTTTCTTCATAATATAATTGGAAAAAGGTTATCGCTACTTTGAATATTTTTTATGCCTAATTTATTTATGCTCGTTTACTATCACTTCATTGCTTCCATACCAATCCGACCCAAAGTGAACTATATATGTATATACCCTTAGTTAAACAATTTTGAACGTAAGAAAAATAAAAATGATGAAAGTTGTTTAATTTGACCTGATCGCAAAAAGTTATCTGTATTACTACTAACCAGTCATGATCCATACATATGTCTGATAACTATAATATCGGTATTAACAAAAATGTGTAGAACTCAAGTAAAGAGATCGGTGTTTGGGTAACCAACAACAATCAACATGATCTCGAGTTTGGATGGTACAAAGATATGTAGGACCTCAACACTACATGACTGTAAATTTTATTTCAGATTCATGTACATCTTTGTGGAACAAAAGTTCAATTATTGCATATGTGTGTCAACTTATATTATTAAACTGAGAGGTAACATATTATAAGGAATGTGTTATGAATTATTGGCGTATAATGTAAGCAAAGATAATGGTACTGATTGTAAACCCTTCAATAACAATTCGACAAATAGTCTATTATAAAATATGAATATACGTTACGGTGTTGTTGCGTGCATGGATATAACCGACATAACTTTGCCCTGGTTATCTAATTGTTAATATAGCTTAGGCTGCTCAGTAATTGGCACTTGGCATTGCAATAGCGACAGCTACTTGACATAAGCATCCTTTTATATTATTCTACTTGATTAAGATAGATTAGTTTGAAGATTTGTTTTGTACCTTCGGTGTTTGGACCGTTCGTTTATTATATTTTGTTGCAGATTAAGTGTCTGTGTTACGTTAGGATACATCTAAACTTCTTTGTTTTTGCCAGAAAGACATCTGAACTTTATCTCTTCGATTTCATCTAACCACACTTGATCCAGGGCCAGATTAACTATGTGAGCGAGAGCAGTACGACCGCTCTGGACCATGAAATAAATGACCGAATCTCTTTTTCTTTTTTAATTCAGTTTTGCAGATCTTTAAGAAAAAATAAATAAAAATACATATTTATGATAAATTTTCTATATTTGTTTCAACATCTAAATTTAATAATATTTTATACAATATAGTTTTATTATACTTAAATTATTCTTTATAGAATTATTAAAGATTCTAATAAACATTTTCCGAGGGTTTTTAGAAACCATAAGTCGACTATGTTGATCATGATTATCAGATATTGTTTTATAATTAGTCAGGATATAAAATATTAATTTTTCAGCAAAAAAATGTACTGACTCTTCTAATTAAACGGCCAACCAAAGTTTTTTTCGTCTAGAGGAGCATTAAATGTATTATTTTATTTTTACTTCAATTTAAAAAGTATATAAAATTAAACTTTATTCATCTTATTTTATTTTAGAGTAAAATAATATGATAAATAAAAATAGATTAGTTTATTTTTGGAATAAATTCACTTCTTATTCTATTTTGAAATTGGAAATAAAATAAGATTAGAATAAATTTTACTTCAAAATCAAATTTGTGGATTTGAATTGATTAATGAAATAAGGTTAGAAGTATTTAATATTACATCGTATAACAATGTAAGAGGGCTAAAATATTTCTTATCTATTGGAAAATTAATTCATTGACAAAATTATATTCAACTAGTATTATATCAAGAGTCAATTGGCTAAATATACAAGAATAAGATCAATATTAGGAAAGTACTCTAAGTTTAAAATAAAGGTAGAATACTGTAGCTTTTTTACATTGAAATTCCTATAATAACCCTATTATCTTCTTCTTCGTTCTTTTTTTTTCACAGACCTTTCAACGTTGGCAAAGACACTAGGAACAGCGTAGGAAGACGAGTGAATCAAGAGAGAGGAGGAGGAGGGGAGGAAGAAGGGAGGAGGACGAGGAGGTGGAGGGAGGAGGAGGAGACGCGAGGTAGGAGGAGGAGGAGGGGAGAGGGAGGAGGAGGAGGGGTGAGAGAGGAGGAGATCGGAGAAGGAAGATGAAGAGAGGAGAGAGAAAGAATAAGGGTAGTAGTGGAATTAAAAAAAAAAGAATAATAGTTAGGGTATATACCTAATTTCGATATTATCGGTGTATATGCAATGCAAATTCTCTTATATCAATATATAATTTAACTGAAGTATGTATCATCAATATATAATTTATGTAAATTTATTTTGATGAACACAGATTGTAATTTCTACCTATTAAATAAATATATTTATTTTGATGAACACAGACTGTAATTTCTACCTATTAAATAAATATATATACGATAAAATAACCACATGGTCCACATCTGATACTTTATGCAATCTTTTTTTTTACCTGACGGCTATGGAGTTTATATTCTGTTAAATTTGTATGAATAAAAGAAAAAGAATTAGTATTTGGTACGTGAAGTTGAAGAATTCAAAAGGGCAACGAAACATAAGACGTGTCCCTGTCTTCTTTGAAGAGTCAATTATGCTCAAAGGCTCCGAGACTTCTTGAGAACGACTTATTGAGAGAGGCAACTTGGTTTTGGTACAACGAATCTATCACCATTGAATTTTCCTTTACTTGACTATAAAATAGACATATAATTGAGTCTCCTCTTTTGTTGCATGTTCTGTTATTCTTAGGAGGTAGGCTATTTCATGTTTGTTAATACATATCCAATCATTTCGTATACAGAATTTGTATATGAATGCGTGATTTGGATGTTAAAACTCTTAAATCTAATAGTTCAGCAAAATACATAATTACGAAAAATTTAATTATTCCTTATACTTAAAAGATAAGTTTTAGCACATGTTTATTTAGATGATCCTTAATCCCTGTGATTTGTATATAGTGTTAGCTACTTTTTCTTTAGCAACAAAAATCGGCAAAACAGAATCTTCTTCTTTTCAAATACTTCTCTTCTTCTTTTTCAAATACTTATTCTTAAGCCCTTTATCAAAAAAAAAAAAAAAATACTTATTCTTATAAAGTATGTTTTGTATAACTCTACAATATCATACTCAGTGACTGGTCATACATTGAAATAAAAAGTAAACAAACAAAAAAGAGAAGTCTGGCAATCTTCTAGGTTTCTAGCACCTTTTTAACTCAATATCAATTTATCATTCACTATAAAAGAGTGTCAAAGTCAACTTCAGAAGAGTTTAACTCACAAAGATAATATAGCAATTTAGTGTCAACTATGAACATGTCTATAGATCTTACGCCACCCAAATCAAACTTCATTGTATTTACGGCTTCCAGCACCTTTTAGACTCTTGATAGAGCTATATCTCCCAATAATTTATCCTGGAAAATATAGTTTTGTATTATGTTTAGTTTTAGATTTTTGTTACCAAATGATTAAATGCATATACCAAAAACTTCCCCGCGTAAGGCATCTCCAACCCAAACATATATCTTCTCTATAATTCTCACAAAAATAGAATATCTCTCTTTTAGAGTAATTTTTATCCAATAGTTCATTATAAAATAGAATTACTCTATTATATAATAGAAAATAGAGCAACATTATCTTTTCACTCCAAAAATAGAGTGAAAAAAGTGATATCCCTCTATTTTCTACTTTATAATAGAGTAATTCTATTTTAGAGTGAACCACTGGAGCAAAAATTACTCTAAAATAGAATTACTCTATTTTTTTGTGGGAATTATAGAGGTAAAAATAAGTTTGGGTTAGAGATGGTCTTAATCTGGATAAGCCCCATTAATGGTCAATAGACCTCTTATGAATATCCATGTTCGGAAACACGGCCACCTCACCAAAAACTTTCCCGCTTGACCAAAAACTCTCTCAGTTATATGCTGATCAGAAGAAGATTAACTTTATATGTCCCATACCCTCCTAAACTTATTCTTTCTACCTCTCTCTATTCTTACTAATCTTTTGTCCTTGCACTCTCTAAATTAGCCTTATATTCTCCATTTATTTTTCAATTAAATAATCCAAACACACCAAACTACCTACATGGCCCACAGAGGCAATCTTAACCAATCAGAACCACTTTGGTCCACATTTCTTCATCTTCCTCGTATCATTCCTCTTCCTTACCTTCCATTGACGATTTTTGAAGTTTTTAAAACAGGTGATTCTTGCTCGTTTTTGTTGATTTTGTTTTTTTTGTAAAATTACCATTAAAAAGTCGTGTATATCATGGGGATATTCGTTTTGATGAAAATTAGAGATTTTAAAAACAATTTTAAAAACTGTATTCAGAGATTTTAGGTATATTTTACATCCGTTCTTGATGATTTTTTGCTGAAATGTTATTAAAAGCAAATGTATATCTCGGCTAGTGTTAAAAAAACAACAGATTCAATGAAAATTATGAGAGATTTAAAAAGATTTTGAAAACTGTGTTATAGATTCT